GGTGGCGCTAGCCCGTCCGACCGCGCCAGTTTGAATGAAAGCTCCTCAAGATGGCGGTGGCCGGGGCCGAGGCGCGAGGAGGTGAGGGCTAGAGACCGGCGCCCCTCACTATCTCCCTTCTCCGGACAAACCCCCCAGGCCCGGGAGCGTGTGGGGACTCGCGGGCCAGGCCGAGCGCGGCGCCGCCTCCCGCCCTGGTGACACCTGGGTCCCCAGAGCGCGCCGCGGGCTTCTCCCTTCCCCCGGCCCCTGACCCTTCTCGCGCCTCGGCCAGTTCGCTCTGTGGAGTCTCCCCCTACGCCCTGGTCTGCGCGTCCGCCGTGGGAATCGGCCCGGTCCCGCCCCGCCGAGGTCCCTTGGGTCCCGCGGCCCCTCCCCGCCGGGTGGCCCTGTGGAGGTATTCGGGCGGCCGCCGCCGCAACTCCGGCTAATCTTCCAGGGACTCGAGTTCCCGTGGGTGCGCGTGTGGCTGGACTCCTTTGTGGTGGTTTGAGCGGGACGTTTAGTGTTCGGGCTGGCTTTTAACTGGGAAGGGGGAGAACCCGGTGGTGTAAATGTGACCTCAGTATCGGAGGAAAGAAAGAAATTGGGGCTGAAGTATGACCGCTAAGAAAGGAAATAAGCGAGGATACACCCCAATTCGGCCGCACTAGGAGGTTAAATTCCTCGTCGGAGATTATCCCAGTAAGTGGGTATTTGAGGATGTATCCTCTAGCCCGGAGTCATTTTTATATCCACCAGGAACTTGTGTTATTTGCACGGACGCCAAAGAATTAAGTACTGAACGTGTATGTGTTCTTGTGCGCGCTTGAAAGACTGGAACTTTCATTGCATTCTAGAATTTAAAGGTGTTTTCTAGGATATTCCTCTCCACATAGATTATGAAATCCTTATCCCCCAAATTTTCCTCCACTAGAGATTACAGTGAACTACTGAGAGGTTTTTGTGGTGGTAATAAGATGCTTAATCTTGCAAATTAATTTTTTTCCTGCATTATATATAATCAGAATTGTTACCAAGAGTGTTTTATGTTCCTTTTTCTTTTTTTCTTTTTACTCAATAGCATTTCCATCGAAAGTTGTGTCTTGAATCTTCTTTTTACTGCAACTAAATAAAAATAGTAGCAACAACAGACAAATCACCTGGGATAAATATCCTAGAGAATCCTCTTTTGCATGTGATCAGCATAATGATGTTAACTTTACACAAAACATCCTGAAGTTTTTTTAATAGAAAGGATTTAAGGGTTCATTTCTGTTCTACTACTCTTCTACCCCCAAACCACCACTCCAGTGTAAGCAACCTCTTCTCCCAAGTTGTTTTTTGGAAAATGTCTTTCACTTTCTTGATGTAGAATTATGAGTCCTTTGTGGGAAGATGGGGTGGAGGTGGAAATCCTTCTTCAGGGTTTCTGATCGTGAAGTTCCTGTGTGAGTGGAGGCTGAGAAATGGATATAGTAAGAGCAGCTGTGGTCTCTCTAAATTACCTCAAAACACAAAAGGTTATCACAACTACCTTGGAGAGCTACCAAGTAAAGCTTGAGTTTACCTATAGGTTTTGTTTGGTGACCCCAGTTTAACCAATTCTCACATTTTTTCATTGAATCTGAAATCCAGAACAGTAAAAATCTCACTAAAGTCATGTAGCTAAGTGGCCTAGCAAAGGTTGGGGCAGAGGGCCCTTGATCTTTAGTGCTTACAGTAATACTAGCCATGAAACCAAGTTTATTACTGATGTCTAAACATCATTTTGTGTTAACATATTTTACTTGCATTATGGGAGCAGGAATTTTAGGGTAAAATCTGCTGCAGCACAGTTAGGTACCGGCTACTGTAAGATTGATTATGAGTGTGTCTGATTTTCTTCAAGCTTGGTATATGGGTCATGTAATTGAATACTCTGTTTTGTAATTCTTGGCTTTAAGAATTACTTGTTAAAAAACAATACAGGAAATGGGTATGACAAAAATCAGTGTACTTTCCATTATTTTATTATAAGTTTCTGGTTTATTTGCCTTCATAATAATAAAATTTCAGCATGGGCAAAATAAGTGCAGTTAAAATTTCATGCAGCATTGCAAACTGGGGAAAGTAGGACATACGATGTATGAGCATGTAACTATAGAACTATAATTCAGTTAGATTTCACTTATTATCAAACTAAGAGAAAGGGGGAAAGTTACTTTTTAAATTTTTACCAAATTATAAGATTGTTTTAAAATATATTTAAGATATATTTCTAACAATAAGTATGTCCTAGAGATCTACATTTTATTAAAACAGCAATTCTATGTAGACTATAATGGAAAAGTAAAAAACATTACCCCTTTTGACCTTTGCATCTATATATAATCTTAAGAAAGCTTACAGACATGAAACAGTTTGTTCAGGTGGCTCAGTAGAAATTAATTGACATCAGTTAAACATAGTAGGGCATGAGAAAGTCCAAGAAGACCAATTTACCAAAATTGTTCTTTAATGCTTAACTTCCTGTTGAAGACACTAAAATGGTTTCTTATCATATGAATTTTTAGTCCTGTAAAATTGCCAGTAGAAGGGTGGGGATATAGAAGTCTTAAGTTTTTCCTTTTCCTTTTTTGCTTTAATTCAGTAGCTATTTCATTAGTAAAGAGTTCTATTTTCTTATTGTAGCTTGGTGTGTGCCTTGCCTAGTTTCACTTGATACTCTTCAGGAATTATGTAGAAAAGAAAAGCTCACATGTAAATCGATTGGAATCACCAAAAGGAATCTAAACAATTATGAGGTGGAATACTTGTGTGACTACAAGGTAGTAAAGGTAAGGCAAATATCTAGTCCCTTAAAAGAGACTTAATCAGACTTCAGTATTGCATATTTGTGTAAGATAAAAAGAACCTTAAAAATAAGCAAAGCTCTTCTTAATGTTTAAAATTCTAAGCCATAATAATTTATATGTCCTGTCTATATTTCCAAATAACATTGAGAGGGTTTTGAAGCATAAAGCATGCTTGCATTAGAATAATTTAAGGTGCTTATGTCATTCTACATCCAACTCTTGATTCTCTCCATGTGGGTTACCAGAGCAAATATTTTATCTCAGAATGGCTTCTCCTAGGACTAATTTTGTTCCTGAATCATATTTTCCTACTATCACCCGAAATGAACTTAGAAATTCAAACCAATTTTAGTGTTACTGAATCTCCTCAAGAAGCAGCACCACTTGTATTTCCTGCAAATATGTCAAGCTCCAGATATTACTGAGGTTATGTGGTATAATAGAATGGCCTGGAATTTAAAGTCATTTCTAGCCTTTGTTTAGTGTCGTAAGGCTCCAGCAAAGTCACCTAAGTTCTCTGGGACTTAATTTCTATTCCTTTTTAAAATGACATGGTTGTTCATCTAAGAAGCTTTTTCAATCTAAATCTTAGCAATAAATTTTTGAGTAATCATCTCTATAGCCTATTCCCTCTCCAAGAACTCTGTTTTGGTCATTAGTCTGTCAGTTCTACCAGATAATCAGGAATCTTATTTAATTCTTTGTTTTTCTTCATCAGATTCCATAACTATTCTTTCTTTAAAATATCCATCTTTTGGTGTCACTGCCTTCCTCACTCGGTGGGATTTTATGACCAAGTGTTTCACCAAAACGCTTTGTAACAAACTTCAACCCCCAAACAGCCCAATAATTTGCCTTCACAGTTTATAAACTGGCCTGAACAATTCAGCAGAGAATATCGTATAATCACACATATTGGCTCCATTAAAGCTTAGTTGTTTTTTTAAAATCTTTTGCTCTTTTTTAAAATTAAGAAAAATGTTTTTATTGATTTTAGAGACAGAGGAAAGGAGAAGGAGAGAGAGAGAAACATCTATCAGCTGCCTCCTGCACACCCCCTACTGTAGATGAAGCCTGCAGTCCCGGCATGTGCCCTGACTAGAAATCGAACCAGTGACCATCTGGTGCATGGGGCAATGCTCAGCTAACTGAGCCACACTGGCCATGGCTGCAGCTTATTTCTATTCTCACACCACTCATTTCTACTTGATGAGCTTTTTATTTTTTGCTTTCTTTTCCCATTCTTATCAGCAGTTTTCCCAACTTTTATTATTACTCTGAACTTCTTACTCTACCCCTCACCCTCTCATATTCAGCTGCAGACCTCTTGTATCTCAGTGAAAAATAGGATCCCTCAAATACAAACTCTCAAATTACCTTCACATCAGTTATTTGTATCTTTGCTTATTTATAGTTTCAGAGGTATCACCGTTTGTCTTTTTTGTTATCCATCCCCTTTAGGACTTTGCTTAATCTGTGATGTCTTTTTTGTATCAACCTCTCTTTCCACTTATTTATCTCAATTGATAAACCTCTCCCTGTGACTGTTTTTGTAACTGGCAATTTGCATATCTTAATCCCTTCCCTTTTTTCACCCACCGCCGCAACTCCCCTTGCACCTACCAACCATCTTTTTTTTCTTTTAAGATTCTTTATTGGTTTTTAGAGAAAGAAGAAGGGGGAAGGAGAGAGAAACATTGATGTGAGAGTGATATATCTAGTGGCTGCTTCCTGCACACCCCTACCAGGGATCGTGCCTGTAACCCGGAATTGTGCCCTCACCAGGAATTGAACCTGCAACCTTTTGGGACATAGGATGATGCCTAACCCCCTGAGCCACACCAGCTAGGGCTAGCAATCATCAGTTTGTTCTCTATCTATGAGTTTGTTTCTGTTTTGTTTGCTTGTTTATTTTATTTTTTAGATTCCACATATAAATGAAATTATGTGGTAGTTTTCTTTCTCTGTCTTATTTCATTCAGCATAATGCCCTCCAGGTCCAGTCATGTTGTTGCAAATGGCAACATTACCTTCTTTGTTATGGCTAAGTAATATTCCATTGTATATATGTACCACATCTTTATCCATTTCTCTATTGATGGACACTTAGTTTGCTTCCTTATTTTAACTGTTATAAATAATGCTTCAGAGAACACAGGGGTACATATAGCTTTTTGAATTAGTGTTTTGGATTTTTTCAGCAAAATACCCAGAAGTGAAATTGCTGGGTTATGTGGTAGTTCTATTTTTAATTTTTTGAGGAACCTCCATACTGTTTCTCATAGTGGCTGCACCAATTTATAATCCCACTAACAATGTACGAGGGTTCCCTTTTCTCCATGTCCTCCCAAACACTTGTTATTTGTGGGTTTATTGATGATAGCCATTCTGACAAATGTGAGGTGATAGCTCATTGTGATTTTAATTGGCATTTCCCTAATGATTAGTGATGTTGGGTGTCTTTCATATTGTCTTTTCGGAGAAATGTCTATTCAGGTCCTCTTCCCATTTATTAATTGGATTTTTGTGTGTGTTAAGTTTTATGAGTTCTATATATTTTGGATATTAACCCCTACTGGATGTATCATTGGCAAATATATTCTTCCATTCAGTGATTGTCTTTTCATTTTGTTGATGGTTTCCATCACTGCAGCAACTATTTAGTTTGACGTAGTCCTGTTTGTTTATTTTTTTCTTTTGTTTCCCTTGCCTGAAGAGACATATCCAAAAAAATATCACTAAGAGCGATGTCGAAGAGTTTGCTGCCTATGTTTCTTCCAAGAATTTTATGGTTTCGAGTCTTACATTTAAGTCTTTAATCCATCTTGCAGATGGTATATGAAAGTGATCCAGTTTTATTGTTTTGCATGTGTCTATCAAGTTTTTCCAGTACCACTTATCAAAGAGACTGTCTTTCTCCCATTGTATATTCTTGCCTTCTTTGTCACAGATTAATTGACCATATAGGGTTTATTTCTGGGCTCTTTATTCTGTTCCCTTGATTTTTGTGTCTGTTTTTATGTCAGTACCATGCTGTTTTGATTATTGTAGCCTTGTAGTATAGTTTGATACCAGGTAGTGTGATACTTCCAACTTTGGTCTTTTTTCTCAAGGTAGCTTTGGATATTTGGCATCTTTTCTGGTTCCAAATAAATTTTAGGATTATTTGTTCTAGTTCTGTGAAAAATGCCATCAGGATTTTTATAAGGATTGCATTGACTATGTAAACTGCTTTGGGTAGTATGGACATTTTAACAATGTTAATAACCCTATACATGAGCACTGTATATACTTCAATTTATTTGTATCTTTTTCAATGTCTTCTTCTAGTGTCTTACAATTTTCCAAGTATAAGTCTTTTACCTCCTTGGTTAAATTTACTCCTAAGTATTTTATTCCTTTTCATGCAATGGTAAATGGAATTGTTTTTTTTTTAATTTCTCTTTCAGTAGTTCATTATTGGTTTACAAAACTACAACCTACTTCTGAGTATTAATTTTGTATCATGTTACTTTATTGAATCATTTATTAGTTCTTATAGTTTTTTGGTGGATTCTTTTTTTTTTTTTTTTAATTGATTTAAGAGAGAGGGAGGGAGAGGGGAAGAGAAAATTGAAGCATCAATGATGAGAGAGAATCATTGATCAGCTGCCGCCTGCACGGCCCCAACTGGGAATCAAGCCCACAACCCAGGAAATCAAACCGTGATCTCCTAGATCCTAGGTCGATGCTCAACAGCTGAGCCACACCTGGCCGGGTTTGGTGGATTCTTTATGGTTCTCTATGTAGTATGTCATCTGCAAATAATGACATAAAGCTGAATTTTACCAAACATTCAAAAAGATTTAATACCTAGTCTTCTCAAACTATTTTACAAAATTGAAGAGGAGGGAAGCCTCCCTACCTCATTTTATGAGGCCAATATTACCCTGATACCAAAATCAAACTAAGACATTACAAAAAAAGAAAATTATAGGCCAATATCCCTGTTGAACATGGATGCAAAAATCCTCAAGAAACAAGAAAAATCTCAAAGAAACAATCTGCTACAGTTTAATTCTTACTTTCCAGTTCAGATGCATTTTATTTCTTGTGTGATTGCTGTGGCTAGGACCTCCAATAGTATGTTGAATGAACATTCTTGTCTTGTTCCTGATCTTTTTTTTTAAAGAACAGTTTATTGATTTTAAGAGAGAGAGAAACATCAATGTGAGAGCCCCTACCAGGGATTGAGCTCGCAGACTGGGCATGTGCCCTTGACTGGGAGTCGAACCAGCAATCTCCTGGTGCACAGGACAATGCCCAACCAACTGAGCCACACCAGCCAGGGCATGCCTTGTTCCAGGTTTTAGAAAGCTTTCACCTCTTTACCATTGAGTATGATCTTAGCTGTGGGTTGTCACATATGGCCTTTTTACCGTTAAATATGTTCCCTCTTTGCTGAGTGTTTTTATCATAAATGGATATTGGATTTTGTTAAATGCTTTTTCTGTATCTTTTGATATGATCATGTGATGTTTATACTTCATTTTTTTATGTGATATATTGTGTCGATTTGCAGATACTGAACCAGGCTTGCATCCTGGGAATAAGTCCCTCTTGATTATAGTATAGATTTTTTTAATGTATTGGTCAATTTAGTTTGCTAATTTTTTATTTAGGATATTTTGCAACTATATTCAACAGGGATTTTGGCTTAACATTTTCTTTTTTTGTAATGTCTTAGTTTGGTTTTGGTATCAAGGTAATACTGGCCTAGTAAAATGAGTTAGGGAGCCTTCCCATCTCTTAAATTTTTTGTGATAGTCTGAGAAGGGTAAGTATTAAATTTTTGAATGTTTGGTAAAATTCACCTGTGAAGCCATCTGGTCCAGGACATTTGTTTGTTGGGAATGTTTTTCTAACTGATTGAATTTCATTAGTAGTTATCAGCCTGTACAGGTTTTCTGTTTCTTCCCGATTCAGCTTTGGAAGATTGTGTT